ATATATATATATATATATATATATATATATATATATATATATATATATATATATATATATATAGTCTTAACAAAGATAAGAGGCACCTTTGCGGTAAATGATGCGTAGATAACAAGTGATTCACCTGAGAAGCTTTCTGTGCCTCAAACTCCCATCAGCACCAAGGAGGAGCGAAGAAGAAAATGAGTCACGTGACTGTGCGGAAGTAGCAGACGGAAAAAGCAAAATGGCAGAAGGAGGTGGAGGTGACCAAGGTACTGTCTAGCATCCCCTCTGTTTTTATTAATACAAACTGTGACAGCGTTTAAAGATGTTTGATGGATGTCGGAATCATCTTAGTTTAGTGATTTGCTTCAGATTTTCTAGTTTTGAGTCAATCTGTCGGACACAAAAAACGTTGCTATGACTGAGGTTAGCTTAGCAAAACCGCTAAGTGTTAGCGTTGATGCTCAGGAGGTTTTCTAGAGACAACAGCGAGACAGAGATAGTTTGACATTACATTTTGTCTTTTTCTTCACACTGAAAAAACGCTAATATTCGCCAGTCGGCTTGGAGTTATTGGCATGTAAAGACATCAAATAATTTACCTAAAACTAATGCACTGGGTTTGACATGGTAGCTCTGTGTTCTGAATAGTTTTCCTATCAAATAATTATTTTTGGAATATTTATGGAAAAAAAAAAAAGTAAAAAAAGTTTTTAATAAGAATGTCGAGGGGGGTTTCTTGTTGGAAAATGATTTCATGGGACTTTCCAAGGTTTCGATGTATCAACATTTAAGTGAGGTGACTCATCTTTACCTTTTGTTTCTTAGGGAATCCGGTTGATCCTATGGTGGAAGTTGGAGCTGTGTTGCTAAAGGAGTAAGTTTACTTTACATCTAACTTGCTTTCTTTTAGAAATGAACATGGATGTTACTACTGTTTCAGTTTAGTAGTTTATAAATACTCCAAGTATGCAATGTTTAATATTGTATTGCTAGTTTAAAGTAGTAGGGAAGTCATATTTAAGTGTCAATCATTCTGGCTTAAAAATGTATATAAATGTACTCTTTATCAGATGATATTGTCCCAAAAGTTAGAAAATTTATATATAAAAAAAAAATCCTGTCTTAAAATCGGTGGGGATTTTTTGGTCATCTTAACACCTAAATTCAACCAATCATATATCAACGGTCATCAATCAAATTTTTCAGTCATAGTATCTTGATTCATATGTCACATCTAATTTACGCAACAGTTCAAATAAGGAATATGAGACATTATTGACTTTACCATTGAATTCCGTCCCAGTGTTCAAGGGGATGGACGTCTGTGTCTTCGGCAGGCGTAGATCTAACAGAACTGGCAGCGTTGCGAGGCAAGGGCTCAAACATGTACGGCTGTAAGCCTTATACAACAACTTCGTCCCTGCTTTGCTCTTCAAAATAAAAAATGACACTCATCCACAACCTCAGGCACAAAACTCTCCTCCTCTTGCATATTTCCTTAATGTTACTTGACAGTGTCATTGCTATGCGCTACTTGGTCCCAATGTAATTTCCCATTAGGAACCTACTACCACTAAGTTGCTAGCTGGTTAGCAAGATGCTTCCAAGACACCGGCCACAAACAAACTTGCTTGCAAACCTTCCGCCACAAGAATCCCGCCCTTTTGTTAATCGCCCAACCACATTCATTTTATTCACTCGTGTAAAGTCAGGCACCACTTGGGAGAATTCAGAACCGCAACCGTTGGAACAGCCACTTCCCTACGACTTTCCCTAAGACTTTCTTGCAGCAGTTTGGATTAGACCAGACGTCTGCCGCCTGAGCTGCAGTGGTTCTGCTCAGCTTTTACTTTGGCTGGAAAAAAATAAAATCAACTACTATTTTAAAATGCAGATATAGTAGATTTAGATTTTGAAACACCTAGCCGGTGCAGCTTGAACACATCGTCAGTGAAATTAGACCTGTTAGGTTTGAAACAATGTTCATCTTATTATATAACATTCCACCATATGAAGGCCCTGTTGGAAAATATGTATGCCTATGTTTCTTAGGGATAGGTGACTGCAGATCTGTTGTGCACCAAAAGTGTTAAACCTTGTAGAAAGTTGTGCGGTCTTGAGGAAAACAACAGAGAGAAAAAGGAAAAGGGTTGAGAATGTCGACCGATCACAATCTGTGGGCTCGTTACAATATTCAACCAAAATTTCAAATTTGAATTTTCTTCTAACGTTTTTTCAGTGTTAATTTATAGGAAAAGGTGTAATGATGTATGCATTTGTTCTGAGGAGCCACTGTACTAGTGTCACTGTCAACAGATGGTAATCAGATGAGCAGTGTATTAGTCATATTGAGGATATAAAGTAATAACCATGAACAGCTAAGAAGTGCTTTACATAGTTGAGTTTAATTGAGTTGTTTTTCTTATTTACTTTTTATTAAATGACAATTGAAAACAGGTTCCTAAATGCTCAGTGGAACAAATATCTTACAAATAGCCCTACCTAGTATATAGGTAGTTCAAATGTTTCTAATTTTGTAAAAGATGGGGAACTCATAAAGACCATCTAAAAAACTTTTGTAAGGCTTTAATAAAGCAGTTTTAGCTTCTTTGTTGTTTTATTTTATTTTATTTTTTTAAAGGCTGCAGACTGAAAAGCACATGCCAAATCCGCTACATCATTAGTTCAAACTAAATCTAGTAGTTTTTGCTGATGCCATTTATCCTGGTTCTTCCCTAATAATAATACATGCTTTAGGACATTTACAGGAAACCTATAATTTGACATTATAATCCTGATGCTGAATTTTAATATCAAGCCTTTTCTAATAGGAAGCAGAACAGGTGGCAGTTTTTAAACTTTTAAACTGCTGTTAAATAAACCTCCAGACATTAAATAACTGTTATTTTATTTTACTGTAATATCACTTTGGGTTTTATATTTATTTATTTTATATTCAGTTTTATTTTTAATAATTTTTAGGATATTATAAGCTAAAGAAATAGATAATCTTTTAGGCTACGTTCATACTGAAGCCTGAAGTGACCAAAATCCGAATTCTTTGCCCATATGCAACGATTTTTATCCCATCTGACCCAGGCGACTTGGCTATGTGGCCCTGAATCCGATACGAATCTGATCTTTTCAAATGCAACATGTGTGTGAAAGTTCAGGTCGGATTCATCCACTTCTGCGTCTTGCTACACAGAAGTGGCAAGAAAAACAACAACCATGGCAGATGATGATGCGGAGAGCAGTATTAATGTTTAACTATATTGAAAAGATTGTGTTTTTATGGTTGGAAAAGATTGCTAGATGCGTGCCGGCACTACCATCCATGTTTACTTCCGGAAAAAAAGAGCATGCAGGCCTGTGACATCATTGTGTCCTCTACTGCTCATGCGGGACACTTGCATTGTATAACTGCAGTTCGCACAGGAGATCATTTACAAGTCACATATATTTGGAAATATGAACGGCAACGTAGAAAAATCAGATTTTGCAAAAAAATCGGAATTGAGCATCAAGGCCTGCGGTGTGAACAAAGCCTTAGTTTTAGCATTTACTGCTTTATTTTAGGTGAGGCATCCTGTGCTTTAGACCTTTTACCGTTTTTATGTTTTTGTATATTCTATTACAAAGTTAAAAAAAATCTGTAGCCCGCAGATAAAACTTTTCTTCTTTGGTTTGCCCCTGAATAGTTTCATCTACCAGCGGATTCGGCGGCACGTAGACGGCGATACTGATGTGACCCGGGAACAGTTGGGTGCCACGGAGCTATGTGACCCAAACCATTTAAAGCTCGCTCAGTGTCTCCAGCAGATTGGAGATGAGCTGGATGGAAACATGGAGCTGCAGAGGTAGATTAGCTCCATTCAAACAAAAATGATAAAAAAAAAAAAAAGAATAATAATTAATATAGCTTATCCTTACATACAAACACCCACTTACGAATTACATCATGTTTTCTTTAGGATGATAGAGGACTCTGCCCTCAAACCAACAAAAGATGTCTTCATGAAAGTGGCACTTCAGATCTTTTCTGATGGTAGATTCAACTGGGGTCGAGTGGTTGCGCTGTTCTACTTTGCCTGTCGACTCGTCATAAAAGTGAGTAAAGTTCCACGTCGGTATCTCCCTTTTGGGCGCTATGGAATCACTACTGAATAATAAACTGATTTTCAATCAAATCTCCAGGCCCTTATCACCAAAATTCCAGAAATCATCAGAACTATAATCAACTGGACCATAGACTACATCCGGGATCATGTGATCAACTGGATCAGAGAGCAAGGTGGCTGGGTAAGGTCTGCTTTGAAATGAGCACTCCATTAATCTCATTTGCTTATGATTTTCCTCCCTTGATTCAGACCTTCTTGCGTTCTGAATAATTTGGGTCATTCTCCAAACTCTGGCGAGTTTTGATGTTTAATAATATCCTATAATGTATCAAATAGCTATTGATCAAATGAGGTAAGGTATATTTTGTTTTTTTTTAGGAGGGTATTCGCTCCTACTTCGGCACGCCTACATGGCAGACGGTGGGTGTCTTCCTGGCTGGAGTTCTTGCCACTGTTTTTGTCATGCGCAAGATGTGAGGGCCCGTTTGAGAAGAAGGGAGAGGAAAGACTGCAAAGAAGCTACGACTGAGGCAACAGGAGCGAAAAGAAGAGGATCAAAGGGTAAACAGAAACAAGCCAAGGCAAAGGAAACAAGCTGAACAAGTGAAACTCGGACACGGAGAACCACAATTCCTTTCAAACTAGGAGTTTAACCGGAAGCGCTGTTGTACCCTTGATCCATGTGCCACTGAGGAGAACTGTGCTACCTGCACAAAATAAGAAAGATGGGGAGGAATTCAGACTTTAACAAAGAAGGAAGTTAGAATAATTTATTTTTTACTTGGTACAAAGTCACTGCAATCTACTTCTGCCCCTAAATCTAAAGTTCTGCTGGAAGAAGGTCTTTCTGTTATTTTATTTGTAGTTCACTCTTTCTTTTTCATTATCATCATCTCGGTATGCTAGCCAGTCTTCATGTTTATGTATTTATTAATAATCCCTCATGAAAGTCATCAACAAACTGCCGTCTACAGACATACAGTATGATGCTTTGAGGTAATGTCTCATTTTTGGGAGTCATTGTTAGATTAACTGAGAAGCTGCAGGCTGGGAAACGCCCTCTGTAACCATTAGCCTCAGACAGTTAATTTGTCAAACCATGAATCTGTATCTTCTTTTCACTTCTGGGACTAAAAGAGAGTGACTAAATAATGAGTTAAGTACAGATTTTATTTACATTTGAATTCAATCATTTTATAGTCTCAAAGAAGCTCGGCCTGAACTGAACTGTGATCAAACTCACCGGAAACGCCTGGATAGATCTAAACCTTTGCTGTTTGGGGGAGATGTATGGAAAGCCAATACAACCTTAATGTGACTCCTATTTAAAAATCTTGAAAAAAAAAGACCTGTTTTGTATTTGCAGACGAGTACTTTGACCGATGAACGAAGTTGTGCTGCATACACAGGAAGCAGTGTGCTGCGTACCTCACTTTTCACACAGTACTGTATTTTGCGACAGTTATTTAAACTGCTGCCACATCATGCAGCAAAAAGGATTTTTATACATTTTCTCTGTTGGTCAGTGCCTTGGTGTTTGCTTTTTTTACAATGAAATCACTGATATTTCCAAGTTTTCACCTTTTCTATCATATTTGTACGGGGGGGTCTTAAGGTTCCCTGGAAAACCTTTTTTTTGCAGTGACTTATGTTGTGGTGAAAAAAATAAATCTTTTAAACTCTTTTTCGTGCTACTTGTCTTGTTTAGAATGCAAATTTAGATTATAATTACACTTAGAAATGTGTTTCCAACTAATGTAATTGTTGGGGAAGTTATATATTTTTTTTATTTTTCATTTCAAGTGCGTTGTTTTCCTACTGGCATGTTACCATGAAATGCTTTTTATAAAAGCAGGAGTCCTCTAGCATTCTTGAAAATGTTAGAATATTTAGTTTTTAACTGGAAATGACCCATATTGATATGAACACGTCTAAGAGTATAGCCTCCGGAGCTGATGGTAGCTTCCATCCAAGTCCTTGTCATATTTTAAAGCCTCTTCAGAATCACCATTAAGTTATTACTTCCTAGATGAAAATCCTGCTCCCTTAAATCTCTGACAGTCAGCTGCCTCTGGGTCCCTAACTGAACAGAAAGATTCTGTACAAGATGTAAAGTTTGCATAATTTTTTTTTTTTTTTTTTTTTTTTTTTTTTTTTTACATAAATTAAGTTTTTGGGATGGATATGTTTAAACTGACTTTCTTGAACTGAAAGCACTAAAGCACATTAGCAGGAGCAGCTCATTCGGTAAAGCTCAAACTAATTTCTACTTCTGGTTACTTCTGTTAATATTGAGCTGTTTTCTCTATTTCTTACTAATAGATAAGCTTCAGACTGTAGTGTTTGGTAATTAAAAATAGCCCTTTGCTGTAAATGAATGAATAATGGAAATTTAGGACATTTTTATCAATATCTTGATTGTTCTTAACTTATTCTTTGTTCTGTTTCTATGGAAGTAGAACAATCTAACTGGAATTAGAAATTTATTTTATAACACTGAAACTTTAATCTGCAATTTTGTATTTGATTTTTTTTAATTAAAATTCATCAGGGGAAAAAAAGGCTGTGAGATTCCACTGCAGAAATTAACTACGGTAATTAAGGAAAATCAGCTGCAAAAATTCAACTGCAGAAATTCATCTAAGAAAGTAAAATGCAAAGATTTGCTTACAGAAATTCACAAGCTAAAATTCAAATGCAACAATTAAAATGTACCCGCTAAATCTGAGCCAAAACAACTGAGAAAAGAGTCTAGCTGCTTTTAGCCAATCAAAGGACCTTAATATGGTCATGTGACACACCAGTATAAGTTAGCTGATAGAGGAGAATGAACAAGCTGTCTTCCATTATACATTGGAGACTGTAAATTACCTAGATTTCATGAACAACCTCTCCATAATTGGAAAATTATCTTTAAAAATAATTTCTCCCCTCATAATAAACCTTTGTGCATCAATATCTTCTTAAGTTTGGATGGAAAAGGGAATTTGGTCCATATTGCATCAAATAGCAGAGGATCTTTCTGCATTTTGCAGACTTTAATCATAAATATATCATTTTTTCTAGTCAGAAGTTTTCTGAGGTGATTAATGCAACTGCATATGCACTTATTTATTTTATTAAAGGCTCATTGATATATATGGAGAGTATGTTCTCTCAGTATCTATGGATAAAAAAAAAATCTTACAAATTTCTTAGATCTGCATTATCCAAAAATTTTCCAATCACCTCTGAAAAGACAAATATTGATGATATAATTATGTTTGACAAATATTAAAAATATATATATTTTTGGTTTCCTATTCAACCCAAGGCAAAAGACGTTTATTTTAAAATAGACATTTATCCCAGTGGTGTTTTTTTTTTTTTTGTTATTCTAAATTTAATATTGTGGAGAATAAGTGTACCGTCTTCAATACAGACATAGAAACTGAGGAACTTGTTTTTACTGCTCTGTTTTTAAAAATTTCTTTAACTGGGGAAGGATAAACCATTTAAATTATAAAGTAATTACATTTGGTGTAATAATGGAGAAAAAAAAAGTTTTTCTAAATAATCGTTTTATTTTGGCTCAATTATTTGTTCAAGTGTAAATTTGCTAAAATTAAATCACTGTGTGTGGTATTTCTTAATAATCTAGCTCTGTTGAACGACTCCTTGAAACTATGCAACTCAGAACAGAAAGCATAATGTCTTTATAATTGTATAGAGAATCTTTCCTTTAATGTGACTCCAGCAGACAATTTGATTATTTTAGTTTTCCCTTTTTATAAGGTTTTCATTGTGCGTTACTTTTTTGTTTTTTTATCAACTGACACTGTTAACTTTCTGATCAAACTGCCTTTAAGTGTATAAAAGCCTGTAAGTTTTGTTTGTAAAAAAAAAAAAAAAACTTAGATTACTGATAAAAACTAGAAAAAATATAAACACTATCATGTTGACGACAAAGAAAGAACCATAAAGAAAATGCATTTAGTTGAACACTTGGTGGATTAATTTATCAGTTTGCTACCCAAAGACCAGGATGTCCATCAGAAGCATGCTGGAGAACTTCCCGCTGCCATCCACACTATCAGCTGATGATAGTAAGTGTAACACAGGCCTGTTTTTTCTTAGAGAACATTCATAATTTAAAAAAAAAATATTATTTCATGCTATATTATTTTCCCTCATGTAACTTTTAGAGGTGAAATGCATTAAAAAATTATTGGAACTGTGTTTTTTCACAAATTAAAATGTCTGCAGATCGTTCAGGCAGTTAGTTCAAATTCTAACCTGTTTATGCAGTGAATATATACACTCACCGGCCACTTTATTAGGTACCCCATGCTAGTAACGGGTTGGACCCCCTTTTGCCTTCAGAACTGCCTCAATTCTTCGTGTTATATTGTGAGGTTATTGCTTAAGTGGCCAGTGGCCCGTAGCCATATATATATATATATATATATATATACCCTCACCGGCCACTTTATTAGGTACCCCAAGCTAGTAACGGGTTGGACCCCCTTTTGCCTTCAGAACTGCCTCAATTCTTCGTGGCATAGACTCAACAAGGTGATGGAAGCATTCCTCAGGGAGTTTGGTCCATATTGACATGATGGCATCACACAGTTGCCGCAGATTTGTCGGCTGCACATCCATGATGCGAATCTCCCGTTCCACCACATCCCAAAGATGCTCTATTGGATTGAGATCTGGTGACTGTGGAGGCCATTTGAGTACAGTGAACTCATTGTCATGTTCAAGAAACCAGTCTGAGATGATTCCAGCTTTATGACATGGCGCATTATCCTGCTGAAAGTAGCCATCAGAAGTTGGGTACATTGTGGTCATAAAGGGATGGACATGGTCAGCAACAATACTCAGGTAGGCTGTGGCATTGCAACAATGCTCAATTGGTACCAAGGGGCCCAAAGAGTGCCAAGAAAATATTCCTCACACCATGACACCACCACCACCAGCCTGAACCGTTGATACAAGGCAGGATGGATCCATGCTTTCATGTTGTAGACGCCAAAATCTGACCCTACCATCCGAATGTGGCAGCAGAAATCGAGACTCATCAGACCAGGCAACGTTTTTCCAATCTTCTACTGTCCAATTTCGATGAGCTTGTGCAAATTGTAGCCTCAGTTTCCTGTTCTTAGCAGAAAGGAGTGGCACCCGGTGTGGTCTTCTGCTGCTGTAGCCCATCTGCCTCAAAGTTCGACGTACTGTGCGTTCAGAGATGCTCTTCTGCCCACCTTGGTTGTAACGGGTGGTTATTTGAGTCACTGTTGCCCTTCTATCAGCTCGAACCAGTCTGGCCATTCTCCTCTGACCTCTGGCATCAACAAGGCATTTCGGCCCACAGAACTGCCGCTCACTGAATGTTTTTTCTTTTTCGGACCATTCTCTGTAAACCCTAGAGATGGTTGTGCGTGAAAATCCCAGTAGATCAGCAGTTTCTGAAATACTCAGACCAGCCCTTCTGGCACCAACAATCATGCCACGTTCAAAGTCACTCAAATCACCTTTCTTCCCCATACTGATGCTCGGTTTGAACTGCAGGAGATTGTCTTGACCATGTCTACATGCCTAAATGCACTGAGTTGCTGCCATGTGATTGGCTGCTTAGAAATTAAGCGTTAACGAGCAGTTGGACAGGTGTACCTAATAAAGTGGCCGGTAAGTGTACATAAAATTTTGCATAGCCTTTTAACTATATTACAGGTGTTAATTCATTTACAAAGGCCTTAATGCACCTAAATATACTAATTACGGTAAAGAATGTTCAGCACAGATTATTAAAAGTAAATAATTTTTCTGCTGATATTTGCTGTATTTTACTGTTTTCGAACCACAGTCCTGAAGGCGCACTGCCCTGCATTTCTGAATATTTCCAAAGTTCTGAACCACCTAATTTCAGTTGATGGCTGATTAACCAGCTTTACTAACCTGCAACCATCTGAATAAGATGTGTTAAATACAGGATTTTATTCATTCCAGTCCTGGAGGGTCAGTGACCTGCACCTGTTAAATGCAGCAGCTCTGCTTTCACACACCTGTGTCAAAGAATCTGGTCATTGACAAGCAGATCTCTGGAGAAATTGACCTCATACAGAGGCGGTAATTCAACCATACAATTCAAATGTTTGGAAGCATAAACATCTTAAAAACGTTCAGGACACAAGATATTTGTTTCCACTTCTATTCTTAAAACGTTTGTTTCCTTCAGAAAAGATGCACGTCATGGAGGACTTTAAAACTTCTCCTGCCCGGCATGAGAAGAGAGAGGACAGGATGCCAGAGCACAGAGAGCGGTCATGATTAGACATGCTGGGCCGAGTGGGAAGACTGGTTACTGCCAGGAAAGAAAAGCAGCCTAAACACAACAGATTGTAGTAACTTTGTGGGAGTGTCATTGTATTAAAAAAACATAATCATTAACACCAGAGGACAGGCTTCTAAATGATTTGTTTCTCTTTTTTAAATTACTTTATTACTGATCTGTAAATTAGTTCAGTATTTTGGACACATTTGTGGTTTCTATAACCAGACATGTCAAAATTCTGATTTTGTTTTACTAATCAAAGCAAAGCCATCCTCTTTAATCACAAACCTACATGTCCGAATGACTAATTTAAAGTCTTTCAGGAAAAATGTTGAAGAAAAATCTTTCAATTTGGCTAGATATTTTAACACCCATTTAAAAACCTACATCTATGCTTGTTGCTCTTTGTACTCTCCATAGGAGGTGCAAAGCGATTTTCAAGATTTGAAATCCAAAAATAAAAGGTGCAACTCTTGAAGCACATGGAGTACTATGATCCAACAATGATTTTGAGACAATTGATCACGTGACCTACAAGCCATTGAGCTAAAGTGTACGGAAGAGGATTAGGGCCACTGAAGAAGTCTCAGAATTCTGAGATTAAAGTCAGAATTCTGAAGAAAAATTCAGAATTCTGAAATTAAAGTCAGTATTCTGAGATTAAAGTCAGAATTTTGAGAATAAAGTCAGAAATTCTGGGAAAAAAGTCAGAATTCTGACTTCTTCCCATATTAAACTGAAATAAAATTTAAAAATCAGTTAACTTTTTTTAATTTTTCCAGTGGCCCTAATCCTCTTCCGTAAAAATGCTTTTATTTAAGTTAAGAAAAAAAAGTAAAAATCTAATTGAAAAGTTAAGCCTAATTAACAATTATATTTAGATTTATAAACAAAAAATGTAAGTGCCAGTATCAGCATTAATGCCTCTAAGGTTATGTTGAACCAGGAAAATGAGTTTCTTTCACCCTCAGAGTGTTTTTAATGAATTTCTTATAGAACAACTTGGGTTATTTTTCTTAATATATTCGGGTAAATTGGCGTTTCCACATTAATTTTTGCCATGAAAATATCCATATTTTTTTTATGTTCCAAAGGTAATAAAGTCTTGTCCTGGATTCCAATAACACTATTGAAATTTTGATTGTCAAATTTTTAGTGCCCTATGAAGGGTTAATAAGCTATAAGCCATAATTTAAATAGTTAAAAATGTTAAAAATCCATCTTAACGTGTTGTTTCAAGCATCCCTGATCAGATAAAAATAACGATTATCCTTTTTAATTGGACAATAATTAGGAATTAAAGGTACCTCTGAAAAATAGAATATTGTCAGAAATATTCAATACTGGCATTTTAGAAAACGTAGATATTACACTAATTTAAAAGAAAAGCACTTTCAGTGATTCGTGTTGTGTGATGGCCACGGTATGGACTACAGGATCCTGTCACATTCAACAAGAATGGTTAGTTTAAAAAAGGCCTTTTTTTGTTACAAGAATGCTGTGTCCAAATATACTCAAAGAAAGCTGACTTGAATAAAAAAAGCTGTACCAGTAACAGGGATGATAAAATAATAAAAACAATACAATCCACTTAGGATTTGAAGTCCCAAAAGAAGGGGGAGACTAAGCACTGAAACCAAAGGAGTTGGATGTGTCCAGAGAACAGGATGTTTATTGTTGCTTAGTGTTACATCCAAAGTCCTCTCTTTAGATGAGAACTATTTGCATTTTATTTGACTCCAGCTTTTCGTGGACGTGCTTTGCATTCCATTGCCTTTCCACTCTCTCAGAATCCATGGGTGAGTTCGAATTCATGGGCTGCGTCCTCCATAGGCCAGATTTGTAGGCCGATTACGTCATAGCGTTGAATATTAGAAGTGCAGTTTAACATAATACAGATATGTGAATAATTCCATCTGAAATTAATTATAATAGTTGTTTTAATGGTTATTAAGCCAGATATGTGGCCGGTAATGTTTGGTTTATCTAAAGGTTTTTATCTGTTACTGTGTGAATGGGATTGGCTGTAATTTAAGAACAGATTCTAATGTATCTGCAGTGTGGGTACTATACATCTGATAGGATTTTGATTTTTTAATTGCTATTTTGCACAGTCTGCTATTTGTTGTTGAATATAAGAGATTAAGCAGATATATTTTTTGTACATACATTGTTTAGATTTACTTATATCTTTCTACCCCTTTTATAGAATAGAATAAAATAGAATAGAAAATCCTGTTATTATCCCACAATGGGGAGATTCTGGTGTTTACAGCAGAGAAAAAGATTATTGAAAAAATGGTCACACAAATGTGGACCTTAGAAAAATTTATAAGAATAATTTGAGGAGTTAAAAGGTAAACAATAAAATACTGTACTGTAAAGTGATTTAACTATATTAAAAACTGTGCACCTGGAGAAAAAAAATAACCAATATACTGCTACTGACATTTTTACAGAAATTGATATTTGAAAATAGCAGCAACATCAGAGATGTGAAAAATAACAGCAGCATGTTACGACTAAGGATTATATAATTATATTGGCTTTTATTTGTTCATGCTCCTGGTGGTGGGCACCTTTATTCCACTCTTTATTCTCCTAAGTGTAGTCTTTGTTCACTTTACAACAAAAAAAATAAAAAATAATAATAAAAAGAAAGTTTTGAAAAGCTTAGTTCATTATTTTCCTGCTTTGTGTTTCAACTGTCACAGTCGCTGTTTGAATTCACAGCCCAAAACACTTGCGGTCTCTTTTATTTTCACGGACCTCGAGGATCCAGTTCAGGTAGACCGCGTCCTTGGAAGATGCAGCCTATGAATTCGAACAGACCCTATATTGTGGAAATTTTTCATTGGACCTCAAGCAGTCTGTGATGTGTAGGGCACCATCTGCTGGTCTATAGTGTTTTCTGAAGTCCACATTCAACACATCCACCAGGGAAATTTAAAACTTAACGCTTCCCTCTGCTAAATATTTTATAGAGACATTGATGAATCTTTCTGTATGGAGCAGCAAATGGGCCTTATGTGAACCACAAAGAGAATTGATGGAGTTTTGTCAAAAGGAGGATGGAGACACCATCAAAGTATTGAGGTCATAGAACTTAACTTTTCAGAACTTTTGTTTGTTTGATCCCAATATATTAGAATTTTCTAAATCCTCATTAAATAAGTCTAAACAGAGCACCTTTCTACTGTGAGTGTTCACCCTGAGCGGGGACACAACTTCCATGTATGACTGTAATGAGGATCTAATTTTCAACAATGTAACTAAATTTATCGGCTTCATATAACTAAAAGCTATAATTATCAATTTTCCAAAATTAATTTTGGATTGAAATACCTCCAGTCTGTGTGTAATGAATCTTGACATGGAGATAAATAAAATAGTTACCTTTTGAGAGTAACTTTCAGATGATGACAAATCTAGAACTTTTTTCTCTTTTATTCGTAAACATAATTGTAGGAGCCAATTATTTTTTGTTAATAATTAACAAAGTTTTTTGTTTTTTTGATAATCTAGCTAAGTTTATTTTACTTTATTGTTTGATATCTGTTATGAGACTATGTTTTTTGGTTATTTAGTCATGTTCCTTTGTTTTTGGTTAGTTATGATTACTTTGGGTGAATTATTTTTATAAGTAGGCTGTCAATGGTAGGACCAGCATGCATCTGTGTCTTTTTCTGTCTGTTTGCCTGAGGAGAAAATAAACTGAGAAAACTGAGTTTACTTGGAACATTTTTTCTTTTGCCTGTGTAAAATTAGTCCATAGTGCATCTGTGGCCTTTGTGGATTTCCATTTTTCTTTGTGTCATCAAAGCCACAACAATAATGATAGTTATTTGACTAAATACTCATTACTATGGAAGCACAGTCTGCTTGTAACAAATGAAAACTGTTCACACATTCTGCATGCTTGACCATGTTTATTGCATCAAAATGAAATGTAAACACCACGACACAAGGTTAAACATAATCATTCAGCTATTAAGACGTGTCAAAGTTATCAGTTTAAAAGCAGAGTTTAAAACAGAAATGGCGGGTGAATTTAAAGTCACTTCAGAACTGAGTGCATCAGTGGTATTTCAGCCAATGGTAGGTGGGGATGGCGAGTCTTTTTCTGCGCCTCCAGCACTCCATCCTTGATCCTCCACCTCCATGCGGAGCTGAAGTCAGGAGCAGGAACACAGCGGAGCTCCAGACCACATTCCAGCACCTCCTCATCGTGACCGACCTGCTGTCCGCTCTGAGTCTCCAGAGTGAACACCCGCTCTGAAATCTAGACCACAAACAATCGTTTAACTTCCCTCTTCCAACAAACAACCTTTTTTGACAAAAAAAAAAAGAGTTAAAGCTGCCAACTCCTACCTGATCACTGATGCCTGTGGCAATATGTCCAACTTTCACCCGACGTTTTTCTCTGATCTGAATTCTTCTCCCGCTGAAGTCTCTGATGCTGACATCAACTCCTGTGCAGAAAGGAAAATGCAGACATGAAGAGTTTTGCTTTATTTTTAATAGTTTGAAGTAGGAGTGAAGTTTTTGGATTTACTCTCACCTTCAAAACAGCAGGGTGGTGTTTGACCAAGCAAATCCAAACTGAAGACCTGAACATCTGGTTGGCTGTTATAGGAGAAGAAGCCGGAGCTGTAATCATCTCCAGGGCTCAGAGACCAGCGACCAGAATCCTTGGAGGAAAAAAAATACTCAGTTGAACTGATTGTGGTAAATTAAATAAGTTTCACAAAATTGATTATATATTCCATGCATATTTACAGGCTAATATGAAGCTACTCTATCAATTTAGCTGTTTACTGGCAATTTGGATGTTAAATTTGAACAATGTGTCCCAGTCACCTTTTTATCCCATAGTTCCCAGTTGCTGTAATGGTCACTATTAATACAAGACAGGAGCTGCTCCTGCATCTCAGCAGAGGGAAGCTGAGACAGACTGCTCAGGTAGAAGTCTGAAAACAAGCAGAGTTTAAGCATCAAAACAGACAAATTACAATGATAGCATCCCTGGAAGAACAAAGATTCACCTCGCTCCAGTTTGCGCAGCTCCAGCTCAGGCTCAGGCACAGCGGGGATCTTGTTCCTCTTGAAGTTTGGCTCAGGTATCAGCATTTGAGGGGCGTTCCATGACTCCCTCTTTGGCTCATTGGGGCTGATCTCCATGTCCTTCTCCACGACTTTGTTTTTTGTTCCTGTCATTTCTCTGTCGACAGACATCTTGTGTTCCTGTAGGTCTTCAAAGTCACTTAAGCTCATAATGGGCTGCGGGTTGTCAGGCGGTTTGTTAGGAACATACAGAGGATCTGTGTAGGGTCCTCGGACTGCGCTGGTTAATCCTCCAACTGCAGAAAAGGGAGGGAAAAAAAAGACACTAAAGTGAACTCTGTAATCCCCATTTTACAGATCAGATATGATCTTAAATCATTACATAAATTCTGGACATGAGCAATAAACCAATTTAGTCAGCAGGGTTTTATTCTCGTTAAGTTATAAACAAGGTGAGTTACACTGTTGAGGAAGAACAACACTATATGAGCAGCATAATGAGAGGTGATAGACGCTTTTATTCCAGGAATGCCTGTCTGTTTAGAAGTATTCCCTCTCTAACAAACCAAATCAAACTGCTGAAACCAATCATTAGTATGTCTCTCAGGTCTGTAGATGCATTTAATTGATGCATGTGTTGGAGAAGTGATGCATCTACATGTATTTTTTTATTTTGTTGTATGTATTTGTTTATTTTGTTTTTTATTGTGTGTGATACAATGTACACTTGTACCTTAATCCGTATTTATCTTGATATACTGTATATATATTGTTTATTCTTAATGCACCTTTTTCCTTCTTGTTTGTACCTTCTTTAATTACTATGCCAATATGTGACCAGTGAATTTCTCCGCTGTGAGATCAATAAAGCTCATCTAATCTAATCTAATCTAATTGTATAGCGAAAGTAGTTCCAGAAGAACGGAGAAGTAAAGCCCTGTAAAATCCGCCTAGGAATTAACAGTAAGGTCAGTTATGTTTCTTTCCATTCACATTAGTCTGACTATAAGGTTATTTGAGTGTTTCACCTCCAAGAGCAAATCAGTTTTGACTTAAATTCTTTCAACAAAACCAAAAGGAAAGCATAAATAAATCATTTTCTTTACCTTCTTTCAGAGCTCTGTTGGTTTTTTCCCTGAGCTGAGATGCAGATAATCTCTTGACTGGATCCTTCTGGAGTCCAGCCTTCAAAACTTCAGCTGTGAGAGGGCTGCAGTCCTGCGGGATCTCTCTGACTGGCGGAGGCTCATTTGCAATCTGAGTACATGAGAAAAGCAAAGTTAGTTAAGCTTTGATGAAGAGCTAGAAGAGCTGATTTAAAGTAGGTGTGAGCGAGCAGCACCTTCAGGTAGAGTCTACAGGTGTAGTATCTGGTCCACGGCTGACACCCGTTCAGCATGTGGAGCAACATGCAGCAGCTGCTCCACACATCTGCTTTGGCTCCACGTGGTTCTCCTTTTACAATCTCAGGGGCCATATGAGTCTCTGTGCCCTTCAGATCTGTTATTAGTTGGAAGAGAGTAATTAGTGTGATTGGATGAACCACATATTCCAGAGCTTGCTGGCTAAAGCCGCGCAGTGTTTACCTCTGGAACCGCTGAGGCCCAGGCCCTGGTGGTCAAGCTTCTCTGCATGTCCAAAGTCACACAGGAAGGCGTCTTTCCCATCTTCTGACAGCAACACGTTGTCAGCTGTGAGAAACAAGCAGAGAACTGAATCTTTTTGCAGCTTAATGATCCTGCAGAAGGTTTGTTGAGCCGAAATAATCATCTGAAGGGACATAAAATGAAACTCATGAATGTGGGAACAAAGCTGGAGCTGCTGTAGCTCTCGATTTTACTGTAGTTGAACACTAGATGGCGCCTAAGCTTTAAAAAAAAAATGCTCTTGCTGTTCTGCTTTGATTCAACCCACCCCCACCCTTCAAGTTCTGATTTTCAGTTTCCTCCTTTTCTTCAAACTTTTCATACCTTTAGGCTTCCTTCTCACTTTCTATACTTGTCCTTTTTTTTTCACTCTAAACTTCTCTCTGCTTCCTGCTCCTTTACCCATCCCCCTTCTGCTTCGTTGTCTTCCTTCTGCTCTGTCCTCATCCAGCGCACATGCGCCGTTACTCAAAGATGGCCCTGACTCACTGTGGGAAATTCCCAGCCCGTCAGCAGTACACAGGTGCCTCTAGATCAAATCTGTCCTGTAGCTATGACACTGGTGTTCCACATAAATAGACAAACACAACTTCTTCAGAGGAATAGAAGAAAGTTTTTCTACACGTTCTGTATATTTTCCACTTGATATTGTAAACAGTGAGAGTGTTCATATTCAGTCGCTAATAGTCCTTGGAGTTTATTCTTGAATTTTATGTGAGGATTTGATCATAAAGTTATAAGAAAAACAAATAATATTTCAGCTTTAGGATTTTTTTCTTAGTTTTGTTGTTCTCTCAAAACCTCAGTTTATAAAACACCCAAACATTAAACCTAATCTCACTTCCTTTTTTCTGTGTGTCAAGGGAGAAAATCGGTTTTCTCTCTCGCTTTATAACAGTTTCCCCCCTCAACTTAGGCTTATTAACATACATACCTTTAATATCTAAATGTGCTACTTTCTTCTTTTTGAGGTATTCCAGGGCGGCCAAAACCTGAGAGTGGTAGTGAAGACTCAAATCCTCTGGCAGTCTGCCTCGCTCCATTATCAGCTGGCCCAGGGAGCCTGACATAACAGACAGAATCACAGCCTCGTTAAAAAATAAAAATACTTGATTGAAGAGTTTTTAATGTTGATTTCTCATAAACAAAAAGTTTGTCAGCTGGAACTGACAGAGTTATCCATATGGACAATCTCATTTAATTTATATCCTACTTTCAGTAAAGTTTAACACCAGCCAACAGGAAAAAAAATAAAAACAGATGTTCACCTGATTTTTCTTCCATTAAAAGGACAACGTTTGGTCCCTCTCTGATCACTCCAAAGAGCTCAGTGATATAAGGAGATCTGACGGTACTCCACGTACCCACCTCCTCACTCCTGAATCTCTTCAGGGCAATCTGTTAAAAAAAGGAGACAGAATGAAATTCTGAGGGTCACACTTTTAAAGCAGGCAGCCGACAAATAAGTTGCCAAAATAAGCTTGTTTACCTTTTTGGCTGCAAATCTGAATCCCGTATTGACATCCTGAGCGCTGTGAACCTCGCCAAAGGAGCCGTCCTTGATAAAACGGGACAGGGTGTATTCACTCCCTTCTTTATATTCAGAGTCCACGGGTTGAATTTTCTTTTTTTTAAATAAAAAGACAGAAGTTAATTTTGCACAAACTAAAAAAAAACTGCAGTTTTTTTTTTTTATACAAGATAGATAATAACATACTTCATTGTAAAAGATAATTCCTTCGTTGCATTTTAAATCAGCTGTTGAAAGCTCTTCCTCGTTCTCTCTAGCCTCGTTTTCCACCTCACTGAAAAATGGCCACACGTAACAAGGATCAGCCTGGCTGACGACGCCTCTTAGTCCTGCAAGGGCCAGGGAGCAATCTCCCAGACTGCTGAGGGAATCGGAGCTGATGTGCTGCTCGCATGGCTGGAAGCTGGGGCGGTAGGCAAAGACCGGGGCCCAGTTCAGAGGAGAGCAACTTGAGCCGGTGGGGTAGTTCTGTCTGTCCGTGAGAGGGTGGCCGTACTCCTGCTCCACCAAGCTTTCAACGCTGCTACAGCGGGATGAACTGAAGTCGCTTAATTCACTGACAGAGAATTCCTCCTATAGAGAGACAAGCAAAATTAAAAAAAAATTTTAACAAACACGTAGAAACTTTCAACTAAAGGTACCAACATTCAGACGCCTTGAAGCTATTTAGTATATTTGGGGCAAAGTCTATGTAATCAAAGAGTTTACATGTTCACATTATCTAATCATTGCTAGGTTACATTTAATTTGATTATTGCTTACTCTAAGTATGACCTAATTTATGGTTGGAGTAATCAGAAAAGGTCGATGACACAGCAGTGTCTTAATGAGACATGGTCTAAGTTCAGCTTTTAGACAGGATGCTGTTATGCTAACGTCTGGGTAGGAAAAGCAGTTCTTACCTGGATAAGGCCGCTCTCTTGTTCAGGGACGCCTGAGGGAATTCGATGTCGCCGCCGCTGTTTCTCCTTTCCCTTCCCTGGCTTTTTTCTCTTCCCTTTGCTCTTTGTCCTCCTCTGGCTCTTCTTCTCCAGCGGGTTATGTGCCTCCTGGATGGAGGCTGAAATGGGGCATGCCACATGGTTGTGGTCTGAAGAAGGGCTAAGCAATACAAATTTGGGTTATTTTAAATCATTGCAAACACCAACATAAGAGGAAAACATGTTATATGCACTGGAGGATGTAATGACACACCTGGTGAAACAATTCGGGAAGGCGACAAATCTTTTAGAACAAGAGGGGCTGAATTCCTGGGAATCCTGGGTTTCACCTGCAGCAAAAGTTGATGTTAAACAGATTCCCAGCCCATTCATCAATACAGAACGTTTTATCCTTATAAATATTCATAATTACATTCAGCCTGGGCGATGATAGTTGAGCTCTTAATGGGCATTTCTCCCACTTGCTCTGCCGTTCCACGTGTCAGGAGTTTATTGAAATAAGGGTTTTTCTTAATCCATCCTTCCTCCTGCATGTAACCCACTTTGCTTTCCTTCCCCTCATCTTCCTCTTCTTCCGCCTCCTGCTCCTTGCTGGAGCTGGGCGGATAGGACCCCTTCAGCTCGCCTTTGGGGGAACCGGAGAATGGAGCGGTTGAATTGAAAGGCCTCTGCCTCACCGCCATTTCATCTGATAGATCTGGAAAGAGAGATTATTTGGTCTAATTATTATCTTTTGTTTTGGACAATGTATCCACGTCTAAGTTTTACCGATAGATTAAAGTTCAATTCCATTACAGAGTTTTTTAAATTTAATTTATGGACAGATTCTCTTAAAAAAAAAAAACTTAGCTTCTCATCTGATTTGAACCATTTTTAATTGAATTAGTAATAGTTTCTATACAAAAGGTGTTTTTTTTCAAAGAATTTGCAGCATTTGGTATACATTCCCACTAATGCTGCCATTAGCAATGGGTGAATTTCTTTGCAGTGTGTTTGTAGATGGTTATTAGCAGGTATTTTACGAATGAAAGACAAAAAAAAAAAAAAACCTAATAAACACATTGTAAAAGCTCCTTCGTATTCCTAAATGGCATTTTGCTGATGGTAAAAAGAACTGATACAAATTCGCTTTACAAAAACAGCAAATCCAAACAAGCAGAAAGGTTAATAAAACTGCCAAGATAAAAGTGCAAAGGTGTCTTATTACAGCACTCTTTTTATAACCCATTTATTGGTTGACGTATTGAATTAAGCAATCCATGCACCCCCACCAAAAAAAAAAAAAAAAACTCTTAACATCAAGTTGAACTGAAACTTTGAAAGTCTGCAGTCAGTAGACAACACAGGAAACTAACCCCATGTTTGACAGTTGCAACAATTTCATGAAAATCACCCCCTCTTTAAAAACAAATATATAAGGCGATACCAACATAGAGTTGCAACGTGAAACAAATCGGTTTAAACAATGTGTGTATGTCTAAGCCCTGCCGAAAATGAGCTAAAGAAGCAGTTACAGCTTATTGCATCACTGCATTCCTTGATCATAAAGATTAACACCAACAATCTCATTTCAAACAAGCAGAACCACCTTCATACTTTTTTTTATTATGCCGGCATAACTTAAGTGCTAAAGCCTTCCTACAAGCAAACTACCGTACAACTTCAAATAAGTCTGAACAAATTTTGCATATTACCTTTCCTGCCGACTTCATGCACTGAAGGATCTTTTAGAACAATGCGGTTCAAATGTTACTTCCGTATAACATCGCTGCACCACCACACCCCGATTTCACAGAAAGGAAATTGAAAAACAAAAACGGCTATAAACCACCACAAAAACAACTCTGTGTGCAGAAGGCCCAGTGCTGAAAGCACGTATCGACAGAAACTAGTCCTGACTGCTACCTCTCTCGGGGTCTGCTCTGAATAACCTCAGCGACTTTAACTAAGTGCTTTGTTTGCCTTCCTTATCCTCCATGGTCTTCAACATTGCCTCGCAGCTTAGCCTCTGCAGCTTGGCTCTTAACTTTGTTTGATGCTGGCAGACTGCCAAAGAGGGGAGGAGCTGGCTGACATGACTTATGGGAAATGGATCGACACTTCCCCATATTCCCTCCCCTCCTTCTTCTCGCTCCAGTGCAGCTACTTTAGTTCCTGTATCCTTCAACTCTGAAAGATTACAGGATAACCTGTGATAAAAGCTCTGGTTATGATTTAACTGCATGAGCGGAATGCCAGCTTTTAATTCATTCCAACTGGTCATTATGCAAGATTACCGTCCCACATAAAATAAAGGGCTTCCATTAGAAATTTGAATAACAAGTTCTAATAAAAAGCCGAATTATAGGACAAACAAGTTGTTTGCCAAGTAAATACGAGGCAGTGTATAAATGTCACATTTCTTTGCATCTGACTCATGTGTTGGGATGAGTTTCTGTGACTCATCACAGACATCCTGAAATGTGAAGAGATTTTTGACCTTTCATGTAAGCAGAGGTTGCTGATGCCGACTCTTTCGCACCACTATACCTTCTGCATTGCACTTAATTAAAAACATAGTTTTTCCACAAATCAGGAAAAAAAAAACATGACAGTGAGATTATTGAATATTTTGATTGCTTTTTCATCTTCATTTTTTTTTTTAGGAAGTTGTCGGCAACATCCGAAATTTGAAATGAGCATATATGAGCTGTGCGCTTTATCGATTTGACACAATCTCACTTTCTTTCCTTTTAAGAAGCAAAACAACTTACTCACTTCAAAACCACTACTGCACACAGGAAATTCAGAATACCGCTTGCTTCGGCTGCACGCAATGAACAAAGAAACAAACAAAAAAAATGAATGCAAGTTGCATGATGCCTTGATAAGAAACACTACAGCAGTATAGAAAATTTGTCAAGGTTCTGAACAGGGTTTGATTAAATAAGGATCTGCCTTGGCAGCTCTAGAGACAGACTGCAAAAGTTCAAGAGTCAAAACACAAAGAAGCATCCAACCATAACATTATGGCAAATCAACTAATAGGTCAGTAAATTTTTTTTCTTTTTTTTTTTTAACCAATTTTACTTCGTTATTACTCTATTTCTATTTCATATTGAGTTTTTTTTTCTATTTTCTGTTCAATTTCATATGTAGAATTTCATTAAAACTTTTGTTTTTCGGTTTCTTTTTCCGATGCATTTTCGTCTCAGGTAACAGCAATGCTCCTTATGCATATAGCGACAGGTGTCACTAGTTATTTTTTTAATCAGCAATTGCCTGCTTCTGCTGCAACATTTCTAATTGAAGGGCTAATGAGTTTTAGAGCATAAATCTACAATAGAGATTTTGTAACTTTGTAGCAGACATAGTTGTTTGAATAGTTATGTTGGGTGACAACACAATAGATGGTGCTGAATAAAGCTGAGTAAATAACAAAACAGACCCATAATTTGGAAATATATTGAATCTTTTAGGCTGCAGCCTTCTTCGCCACAGCAAATTCAGCAAATATCCAACACTTTGCAGAGTTTGAATGCACTTTAGACTTCTACCACAGCACTACAGATGGACTATGATTTGACCAAGAAAAAATATGTAAACAACAAATTAGACCGGGGGTCTTAAACATTTTCCAGGCCAAGGACCCCCAAACTAATGGCGAGATGGTTGCCGTAAGAAGGTTCTGGGTTCGATTCCCGGCCCGGGGGCTTTCTGCATGGGTTTGCATGTTCTCCCTGAGCATGTGTTGGTTCTCTCTGGGTACTTGAGCTTCCTCCCACAGTCCAAAAACATGACTTTTAGGTTTATTGGCTTCTTTAAAGTCTCCTTAGGTGTGAGTGAATGGTTGTATGTCCTGTTTATCTCTGTGTTGCCCTGCAATGGACTGGCGACCTATCCAGGTTGTAACCCGCCTCTCACCCATTGACAGCTGGAGATAGGCACCAGCACCCCTCGCGACCCCAATTGGGACAAGCCTTGCAGATAATGGATGGATGGACTCCTGGTTGATGGGACAGGTGTTGTGAATGAAATGGTGCCCAGCTTGAAAGAGCTCCTGTGTGTCGCTGAATGTGTGCATTGATGACTTTATCTGTTTTACTAGTGTGTTGAATTCATGTTAATGTGTATTTAAAGACATTCAATTAGTAGAAAAATACTTTTAAAAAAGTCTAATCAAAAACTTTTGAGACCCCCATGCAGTACCTCTGTGGTCCCCCTAGGGGTCGCGGACCCCCTGTTGTCGAATTGGTCAGTAGATGTTAAGAAATTCTGATATAATAGAAAAATAGTAATGTATTCTTAGCTTTACGAGAGCAGTTAATGTTAAACAGCAATACGAAAACAAATAAAAAGCCTAAATTAATAAATATAAATAAATATCAATGTTTTACCCCGCATGCTGTGTAATAAAATAGGTAATTAAAGATTAAAATACATTTCTTAATCTGCTTCGTTTGCTTAGCTTAACTTTTTTAGCATTAATTTGTTTTACAAATACCCCTTCAGGACGACATTAGGAGCAGCTGTTTCATGAGAAAACATCGGCCTCAGATGGGCGTGAGATTTTTCCAACACTCAAGACAGCGATATTTTAACCGAGCTCAAACAATGACGGAGTTTACCATTTAATATGACTATAAACAGATAAAACCATCACAATATACATACAATTATTCATTTATTGATGAAAAATCATACATGCATGCTGCACTGATTACAACCAGATAACAGATAACTTCCCTGTTGCCTCCTCAGCGCCATTTTATAAGCATCTTAGCCAAAGTACTTTTTCTTGTTTGTCGAAAGACCACGTATTAGAAAGACGTTATAGAGCCGTAATAAGACAACAATAAACAAAAAAGTTGTTAAGAGGTAAAGCTGGTAAGGTTACCGACCTTTAGAAGATTAAAACCATAAATGAACTCACCGTTACCAGCTCTAAAGGCGTCGGCTGGTTGTCGGCATTTGAGTCGATTTGGAGGCTGGAGGAAGCAGCAGCTTCTTCTTAGATTTTCAAAGTAAAATCCCTCTTTTTTTCAACGTTTATTTTATGTTATTTTACACAATCTTTTAAAAACAAATGTGCTGATGTTATAAGAGTATTTAAGTGGTGTATTTTCAATTTGTCTTGTTTTCTATAGATAAGCGCGCACGCTTGCTCAAGTGAAATATTGGTGGTTTTAATCTGAAAGTAAAGCCTCAGCAGAGTGCCGGTTTTAGGCACAGTATAAAAGCTGACGCTTCTAGGCTCAAGCAGCACATTTAGGAAGTGAAATGTCTTTGCAAACCGGTTGTTCTCGTTTAACAAACGTCAGTGTGTTTTTTCGGAACTCATTATATATATATATATATATATATATATATATATATATATATATATATATATATATTTATTATGTTTTACGTTTTAAATAACCCGCAACCTTTGCTGCAAGGCTTTAATATGAAACATTAAATATATACAGTGGGGGAAATAAGTATTTGACCCCCTACCAAACAGCAAGTATTCTGGCTCCTACAAGCCAGTTAGTCTTTCTTTAAGACACAGCCCCAATCCCAACCAATTATCTACATCAAATACACCTGCCTCACGTCGTTACCTGTATAAAAGACACCTGTCAACACCCAAACAACCAGCATCAAACATCACCACCATGGGCAAGACCAAAGAGCTTTCTATGGACATCAGGGACAAAATTGTTGATGTGCACAAGGCTGGAATGGGCTACAAGAGAATCAGAAAGCAACTTGGAGAGAAAAGATAAACTGTCGGTGCAGTTATCAGGAAATGGAAGAAGCACCACACCACCGCCAACCTCCCTTGGTCTCGGCCTCCACACAAGATCTCGCCTCGTGGTATGTCCCTGATCATGCGAACGGTGAGGAATCATCCCAAAACCACGAGGGGGGAACTGATGAATCAACTGAAGGCAGCTGGGACCACAGTTACAAAAGAAACGGTTGGTAACACACTACGCCGTCATGGATTGAAATCCTGCAGTGCACGCAAGGTCCCCCTGCTCAAGAAGCGACATGTACAGGCCTGCATAAAGTTTGCCATTCACCACCTGGACGACTCAGAAGAGGCCTGGAAGAAGGTGATGTGGTCAGATGAGACCAAAATAGAACTTTTTGGCCTCAACTCAACTCGTCGTGTTTGGAGGGCAAAGAACACCGAGTACAACCCAAAGAACACCATCCCCAGCGTCAAGCATGGTGGTGGCAACATCATGCCTTGGGGGTGCTTTTCAGCCAAGGGGACGGGACAACTCCATCATATTGAGGGGAGGATGGACGGGGCCATGTATCGTGGAATTCTGGACCAACATCTCCTTCCCTCAGTGAGAGAGTTGAAGATGGGTCGAGGATGGGTGTTTCAGCACGACATTGACCCTAAGCACACTGCCAAAGCAACAAAAAAGTGGCTGAAGAAGAAGCACATCAAGGTTCTGGAGTGGCCTAGCCAGTCTCCAGACCTGAATCCAATTGAAAATCTTTGGAGAGAACTTAAAATTCGAGTTGCCAGGTAAAAACTCGGAACCTGAATGATTTGGAGGCTGTCTGCAGGTAGAAGTGGGCCAACATCACTGCCGAAATGTGCACAAACCTTGTCACCAACTATAAAAACCATTTGACATCTGTGCTGGCTAATAATGGCTTTTCTACAAAATATTAACATGCTGTTTGTCCAAGGGGTCAAATACTTGTTTTTCCTCATCAGATGGTTATCAATTTTAATAAATTCATATGATGTGATTTTCTGGAATTTTCTTTGGGATTCTGTCTCTCACTGTTAGAATGTACATATGATTAAAATTATGGATTGTTGCATTCTTTGTAAGTGGGCAAACCTGCAAAATCCACAAGGGGTCAAATACTTATTTCCCCCACTATATATATATATATATATATATATATATATATATATATATATATATATATATATATATATATATTTAATGTTTTACATTAAAGCCTTGCTGCAATAAGGTTGTGGGTTCGATTCCCGGACTGGGGTCTTTCTGCAAGAAGTTTGCATGTTCTCCTTGAGCATGCACCGCTTCCTCCCACAGTCCAAAAACATGACTGTTAGGTTAAATGGC